TACCAATTTTTCATATAACTGGTCTGGGGTGATCAATAGTAACCCTACATAAAACTGGTAAAAATTAAAGTAAATTTGACCATTCTCAGAGGAATTTTAGAACCTTTGTTACTCTCCTCACTGACTGCAATAAAATTCTTAGGATGTTTGTTCAAAGAATTTGGCATTGGTTGAACTAATAATCTCCTAGTTGAAATTTTTTTTTCATTCTCATCACTTGTCTGCTTTATAATGTATTGATATTGTAATGAGAAATTTGGTCTTGGTCATCAGTGGAAGTTAAATAGTTGAAACGAATTACAACTACCCCAAGTATTTTTAGCTCTTACTTGGTGTAGAAGACACAGTATATGTCACACTATTGTTTTCATTGTTTTCTTATTCCCAGTTGTGATGAAATTCTATTGTGGCATATACTGTGTCTTCTACACCAAGTAAGAGCCGCATTTTTATACTACATCTCCTTCAGGAATTTTGTATTAAGAATACTCAGGAAAGAAAAAAACTTAAGACAATTACCCGGGATGTTTGCTCTCTATCTGCCTCCAAACTTGAGACACAACATGCTTTGCTTCATCTTCATTCATCTTATCATTTCCAAAGCTTATAAAACCTTTTTCTTTATCCATCATACCTGCTGCAATGTCTGAAAAGTCATATGGGTAGACTGAGGTGTAATGGGTCTCCCACATTGCCTGGTATCTGTATAAAGGTTCCTTCACGATGTAGGATGGATTGTACTGACAAGGAGGGAATAAATATTTACTGTCTTCTTCTTTGATGAAGGGAAGATGATAAATTTCTGTACGATGTCTTACTTCTTCATTTATGAATGATGGATCCCGATGTCTAATGTGCATTGGGAGGATGTTAACCTCAGATGGCATAGGCTGAATCATAGCGGAGTATGACTTGACTCCATCAAACTGCTTTGAAGTCATATCATATTCAAATGCAGAGAGTAGATTTGACGGTATATCTCTTAGTTCGTCTTTCCATTTGGACGATCGCCATTTAAGGTGTAGAAAATTATCATTCCACCAGTGATGGTGGCCATGTTTTAGTAAAATTTCTGTATAGTAACGCTTTCCAGCTAATAATGAAATCGAATCTTGCTCGCGTGCACGGTTTAAACTTGTACCTGATGTTATATTTGCAATTAATTTGCTGTTTTCGGGATTTGAATCCAGACTCAACCATAGTTCTGACGATCCACTTGACTCTAAATGAAAATTGTAACTGCTAGATTCATCAGGAGTAAGAAATCCATACATTCGTAATCCAAAATTCTCGAATTCCCTCGTGAAGTGCATTTGAAATCTTTTTGCTTTTAAACGAAGCACCGGGGCGTGAGGAAACAGAGGAAATTCTTTCAGCGACCGCATGTCCGAGCCACAGAGATCTTTCCAAACCGCGACGTTTAAACCTTTCGCATTAGCAGCCACTTGGTACTCATTCCTATTATTATTATTGTTATGAAACCTTACCAAAATAATGACTATCGCTCCAATTACGAGAAGCATCAAAAGAAGTTTCTTTCTTTCTCTTCTCAACATTATTGTCAAAACGTCGCCTTGAATATTCACAATCTTAAGATATTGTCCTTGAAGATACCAAAAATCACAGATTACTCTCACTTCAGAGCTGACCGTGCTTGATACACGCGTAATACACGTGCGCAACGAAAGCACACGAATGGTAGAGATTTTAACATCGTAGCCTTCGAATATTGTAACATTGCCTTAACAGGTCAAATTCTCAAGTAGTACTTTGTGTAAGATGAGGTACGGTGTCCCCAGCAACAGTTAAGAGCAGCATCCCCAACCTGCAGCCAAGTGCAAAAAAAATTTTTGCAAGTGCCAGACCTTTTCTTCTGAGCCATCCACTCTCGAAAGTTAACTCTTTTCCTTAAAACTCGTCCAAACTAAATTACAAAGCAAGCATTTTTCACTGGAAATATTTCGACCTTTCCGGTTTAAATTTCCCATCCCACCCAGGTTAAATGTTCAAATTCCCCACCCCCCGGTCACGGACGACAGTCAAATGCCTGTGTGTTACCCATGGGCTGGGGGGATGGAATGGAAGCTTCAAATCGATTTAATTTGCGCATTATCTCCAGCATCTGCTTTATTTGCGATGAAAATATGTAGTTACTTAAGCTGATTTAATCAGCCTAGCATTGTAGGTGCTAAACCGGCAAAAATCAAACAATGCACTCTCTTTATCAATAATTTTAAGGACTTTTCTCAGACGCAATACTCCAGACAGACAGCTACAAATCTTACACTTGATCTGGTTAACAGCCTCGCCACATCAGCGAGCAAGGTTCCTTCCAACCAGAGTTCCTGTTTGTAATTAACTGAACACAGCTTTGCAAGCACGCCCCACCGATAGATATCAGGGCCTACTCGGATGTCTCTCCAATCCTAAATAATTAATTCCGTCTACGACAACAAAAACCTAAGAGGTATCATCGGCATCAAAACCTTCCTTCTATGACCTGGCCCCAGAAGTTGACGAACTCGCTTACGGCGAGAATGTTGGCACATTCGCGTTAGGCCTTGATAAACTCGCTTGTGGCGAAAAGACCTGGCGCTACTTACCCTCCGCTCAAATGTTATCTTCAGATATCGAGTAACACCATAACCAAGATTTACGAAATCTTTTCTCATCTTTTGTCTACTTGATGTTATATTGATATTGTAAGGAGAAATTCTGTCTTGTCTTAAAAAATAACTTTCTATAGCTTACAGCTCAATTCAATCATTAAAACTAATTTAAGTCTGTGATTCACTATTTCCCCATTTCACTATCCATGATTATTTCTCTTCTAGCTGCCTATTAAACTCTCTGATAGCATATGAGCATCAAAATAAGAAATCAGTGACCCTAACCAGAATGGGGGATTGGAATTCTTAGAGTCCATCTGCCTTTTAAACCCTCTGATTAAAAATACAAAAAATCTTGCTATGGCTTACTAACCAATTGTTCTCTCCAACAGAGTTTTGGTAGTAAAAAAATCTTAAGGATATAACTGAGTAAATACAGTACACACCCACATACAAGAACATGTTGATTACTAACTTTCAAGTTGAAATTTTACAAATAGAGAAAATAAGTACAAAAATATGAACCAGATCAGCCTACCAAAATCAGAACGGCTCTTATATGAAAAAAATATGAACATCAAAATAAGAAATCAGTGGCCCCAATCAGAAGAAGGGATTGGGATTTTAAGAGTAAATCTGTTATTCTATTGGTAATCACTCTGAGCTGAAACATTCATAAATACACTAATTTTCAATATATTAATTCTATAACAGTAGTTGTATCTGTTTATAAAACAGAAAATATATTATGTGCACTCTAATTGCTCAAATATCAATTCATCAGTTCATTGTATCACTTACAATGGCTACATGGCTGTATTTATAAGAAGCAGAAGACTGTACTTTCTATCAGTTCACCCATGTACAATAACCCACTTGGGTTATTGGGAGAACACTTATAAAGCTTGTAACTAAATCATTTCTCTCATCTGATCACCTTAACATTAGTTTACAGATTGATTTGAAAATGTCATTTTGGGTATGTTAAGTCATCAGACTTTGGAGAAAAGCACCATAGTAAAATAACAGAAAAATGATATTTCTTGGAGCATAAACTCGAAGTTGAATGTAACTGCATTAGAGTGATCACCGAGACATGAGGCGTTTAACAGTTTCTCGATGGGATACAACATGTACAAACCCACGCTCTCCCCGTCCAGGACGAAGATCCGCCATAATCTCCCTAAAATCTAACAAGCCGGCTGTCAAAGATCTATTGTTAGGGACATGAACACCTCACATTTTGTACCGTCACTAGATTTGTTAAATGTTTTTGGCCAGGTACCCAAGATGGTCAAAATTCAAGCATTCTTTGATGAGCACAAATCCGACGGCTCGGAGACTTGATTAGCAATGAAGCAGGGTTAGTATGACTCTGGTAACAGTGATTAAAATGTTGTGCGTGAAGTCAGATTCCACATGTAACATCAACATTTAGAGGGTCCATCAAATATATTGTATGATAGCTTACGTGGCCAGTGCACAAAGGAGGAGTAAGGAAGGGTGACTTTATTTGAGCGCAAACGTTGATAGATAGGAGCCCGATCCTCTTATATACCAAGAAACAAGCAACCCCCCCCTCCCCCCCCCCCACCTTCTCCTTGTGCTCCGGCGACGAAAGCTGTCTTATAGTATTTAGAACACGCGACCCTAAAGGCCCATAAATATTGAGGACAAGGCCACGCCCAGTCGCACTATTCGTGGCTGAGACTGTATTGCAATTGTTGTTGTGTACCGTCTATCACCACTAGCGAAAGACGGGCCACCGTTGACCTCTTTACTGGAAGCAGGCGTAATATGGGCTGCATACTTCTGATAAGCAAAATGTCTCGGCGGCTTACAAACCAATTCCATCTCTCACCAAAGGTTCAACCAGAGGCGACCATGTGCGTTTCCTCCCTTTGCGAAACTAAAGGAGAAGGGAGGGCGAGGGCGGGGAAGGGAGAAGCGAGAAGTTTGTCATTTTTACCGCGGAATTTTCACGCGCAAGACACAAAGCGAGAAAGACGTAGACAAAGCAGTCGAACATTTCATAATGTCCTCAAGGAGAACTAGTCAGGACTTCTTAATGGATTATTATTCGTTGATGTTGTTTCTCCGTGATGTGCTATGGTTTCGCTCATAGCTACAGCTACAGCTAAATCAGTTAATGTCATGTACTTCCAATGTATTTGTTCCAAGCTAATTTCGAAAAACTACTGAAACATTGATTACTTCTCAAAAGCTTTATTTGTCAAAACTTTTGCTGGCTTTCTGTTCTTTTACCATTTTCCCCTTTAACCCTTTACGCCCTAACATCAGTATCCACATTCTTCATACTCTTCTCAATACTTTTCCTTTGGTACTGTAAGGAGAGTCCGTGTATCAATCAAAACTACATAGATTGTCAATAATTTCCTTTATTCCCATGATCTTAATAAATGATCCAGCAGTATTAATGTAAGGAGAAATTAGAAGCCAGTCACTCTTCATATATCAAAGGGTTAACAACATTGTAACACCCCATATTACCATGGAGTGTAAAAAATAATATGTCTTAATATGTCGTATGAAAACATAACTGAACTAACAAAAACAAGGGTAAACGAACCGCAAATTGAAACACAAGAGAAGACTGATTGCACACTTTCTTTTTCGTAGTATTTTTGTCTTGATGTATTAGCATCAAAAATTAATTAAAGTAAAGCATATCATCTTTAAGGTCGGCACACACGCGGCTAGTCCCTGCGACTAGTCTCTGCGACTAGTCCCTGCAACAAGTCCAGGGAACAAGTCCCATCGTTTGAAATAGCCATTTTTGCCACAAAATCTAGTCGCAGGGACTAAAATTTGGTCCCTGGACTTGTTCCTCAAAACGCTTCGTGTGAACTGTTCGTGGGACTAGTTCCTGCGACCAAATTAAAATAAACCAATCACAGATCGGTATCACAATCATATTTGCCATATTTTCCCGCCTGAAAACACAATGTACAGAGGCGATTGCGTGACTTCCGGGATAATTTCTTTGATGTTTCCTTCCCGGGATTAAACCAGTTTTGAAATAATTTACACGAGTACTGGAAATCTTGATCGAATTTCCGCCCCTTTTGTTTCTGTATTGGCCACATCTGATCGGTAACAAAGCGTTATTTCTGCTTATATCCTAACTGAATCAGAAACAATTCAAGCACTGCATAATTTCGCTGAACAATCTGCGGTTTGTACTGAGCTGATTTATTGCAATGCTACATTGCTATTTTAAGAATTTTGGTTTCTTAAGAAAGCTGTAGAGTGAAAGAATGACACCATTTGCCCCCAGTTTTTGCTACTTTCCTGTGCAATTGGTCCCTGCGTGGAAACACTACTAGGGACTAGTCCTTGCGACCAGTCCCTTCGTGTAAACTCTTCAGGGGAATAGTTGCAGGAACTAGTCGCAGGGACTAGTCCCCCCGTGTGTGTGGCGACCTTTATAATTGGCGTAAGCCCCTCGAGGATTTTCGAAACTATTCGAACCTGTGAGAAAATTCTCGATTCTGAGAGTGGCGGCTGTCCAATCACAAGATAACATGCAGTTTGATCGTTTTCACACTCAAAATTTGTTGTATATAGTGAAAAAAAAAAAAAAGAATTCGTTTTGTATAATCGATCGAGGTGAACTTGTCCATAAATTCATGAATTGCATACCTTTTTATTTCTTTTTCGCATATAAATTCGATGAAAGTCAACGAGAAAATAATACTATTCTTCAGTTAAAATATATGAATATCTTATCTACACTAAAGTGCCAATTTCAAAAGTTTCCTATTTGTCTGTCAAATCTTATTTATTGCATTCCGGCTGCAAATCACACTCATTTATTATGTCAGGAGAGGTCTGTGTACTCGACAATATCTGTGTCATTTCTAACATCAGACCACATGCCTTTTTTGGTGTGGAAATAATGAAATAAATGAACCATTTTTAGCCTCTCTATCTCCATACCATTCATCAAAATGCGATCACAGATCTCCCAATCTTCTCCACCCCATTTGTTCTTGAACTCTTTTACATTCATTCCTCCAATTCTGTCCCAGTCACTTTTGTACATGCCCATCAAACCGTAACCAAAGTGTTCCCAAAAGCCTCTGCGATGCCGTGCTGTCGCCCCACAAGATAGTCGAACGAGTATGGGACTGTAGGCGATCTTGCCTTGAACACAATGCTGCAGAAAAACACCGAAACATGTTTCCAAAAATCAGACTACAATTGCAAATCTTCTATCTGCTTTACGCTGGCGAGGAAATTCAACCCCTCCAAATTTAGATCTACTGAAAACGGAACACTCAGAAATCGTCCGTGATATGGGCGCAGCATTTCATGAAACAATCCTGAAACAAAGGACATAGCTTATTCACAGACCTCTCTATTCTTCCTTAGATCACTGTGTAAGCAAGGTAAGAACCACGGGGAATCTAACGAACGTAAATGCTTGAGGAGAGGGAAAGAGAAAATAGACGCACTTGATTTGCTAAAGTTTGACCGATGGTGACACTCAAGGGAGAAATTAGAAGCAGTATCAAGCAAGTATCAGTAAGAAAAGAACGGCTCTATGTCCGACTACTAACTAAATGAAGAGATTTCTCTTTTCTTTTGGGCTATTGCTCAGTGAAAACTGTTATACTCTAGTTACCAGGTTTCTGGCTCTTCGATGATCCATACTCGCTCCAAAGGTTGTTTTTCTTAGTTGATGGACAAGATATTAAAAGAGAAAAAACGATGTGCGCAAAACTCTCACAAACCTTTCTGACATCATCTAGAAAATGATAGGGAATATCTAAATGAAGATCCATGACAAACACTATTGAGTTCGGATTTGTAACCGTACTGGCAGCCAGCTGTAGCCCCTTGGCCTTTTCAAATCTTCCTCGAAGTCTAATATGCCGATACTGTGGGATTCCACTCTTCCTCAGAGCTTCCTTTAAGTCAACATCGATGCCATCGAATTCAGCGATAATTACATTAAAATTGAAATCCATGGTCTTATTGTGTATTCTTGACATGTGATCAAGAAAATGGAGAGTCCATCGCCCCTGATTATTCCCGGTTGCAAGAAGGATGTTGACGACAGCCCTCTTGTTCCATGCCACGCCCACAGGGATGCAGAAAGCACCCGATTCCTTAAGCCGGTACACATATTCAGAGAACCTCAAAGATCTCCTACTTGAAATTTCTTTCAGTTCTAGTTCTACTAAATATCTGTCACCCTTTTCAGGATCATGATTTTCTTCCACATTCAAGATGTGTTCAAGGATATACTTCCTGTAATGCAAAGGAGAAAAAGGAAAACAAGTGAATGATAAAGTTATTCAATGAATGACACTGGCATATTCGGAAAAAAGAACTCCGAGTGCTCCGAGTACTTTAAATGCTTCACCACTGAGCTTTTAGGAAACTTTTGGCAGGCTGGTCCGTTTGACTAGGTCCATGGTGAAAAATGCATACTGCTAGGATAGGAATGCCGAATGTAATACTTTTGCGCATCGATGATGTACATGAAGATAGCAATTTTTAAGACTGGTGATTTAAAATGAAAGATGAAGTTACTCAGCGAATGACACTGGCATGCATGTTTCAAATGTTCGAAATAATTTTGATTACGTCCTTTCCTGCGTCACGCAATCATACCAAACGATGTGACAAGCCAGATTCTACAATGCAGCAGAAAGGAAACTGAGAAATTTTTCTTGTTACCTCTACATTCCAAACCCATGAGGTCAAAATGGAAACGTTTGGTTCTTCGTCTGTATTGTTGCTTAAGTCGCCTAAACGGAAGTCTTAACAGCCCCGCCTGTTTTAAGAACGGAACCTAAACGTCACAAGTTTTACTTCCGGTCTACACTCATACGACATCGTGTAACAAAATGGATTTGTGATCTCCTAAAGCGATTCCAACTAAAGCAAAATTTATGTTTTCACTTCTTCAAGCAAGAGTGGAATGAATTCTGGTTAACCTTTCACTAAAATTATCTTTCAGGTTGGGACTACAGCTATATGCGACTTCTTTCACCAGGTGAGGTTTGGGTTATTGACGATGCTGACGAGAATTAATTTTTTATCAAACAGCTGTTGGGCATTTTTTTTTGGTTGCCTCTGCTGGTTTTTTTTATGAAATAAACGAAGTTGAAAACATTATAATAAAGGCCTTTCGGTTTTGCTTGATTTGTTTGTTCAATATTTTACGCAATCCATTGAGTTTCCACTGAAAGTTAATTAGTTAAAGTCAAAGGACTGAAACGCCATTTTTACGAATGATGTGAGAACAGGTCGTGTGGGGCAAAATGAGACATTTTTTAATGCAACTGGTATACCAGTAGGACACCTGCGCGTCTCGTTTTGGCTTCGGCTAAGGCTTTAAATGTAGATTTTCTGGTTAATTCTTACCCCTCAACATTTAACTTATAAATTTGCTTTATTTCATTATAATTTAGAAACTGCTAGACCTTGTCACTATTCCATTCATGAAGGTGCACAAAAACCTTTTGTTTGTAATCAGTTTGCGGTCGCTTCGATAACTCATTAAAACGTATTTTGTCTATGCTGTAAACTAGTGCGAAAAGATAAGGAATAATTCTGCAAATTGACCCCAAAGATTCCATCTACGATCCCGACATCATATAAAATTTCGACAAGGCATCGTTAATGATTACCATACCAACGAAAAAGGCAAGATTTTCTAAGAGCTCACAAATTCATTGTGCATACAATTTTTGGACAAATAAAACAATGTCGAAAAAAATAGATTGCCTTTGTACCTGCAGTTTTATCTTAGAGAAGGATAAGGTCCTAAGGAATTAAATTCAGTCAAAAACACAAAATTAGATGTTTTGTTTACTTACTTATTGCTCGAGGTGTCGGAGACTTAGTGTCTTTCACAATCACTGAGCAAACAAGCTTCACACCGTAAAAGATGATTGCAATCGAATCAGTGAGCCAGCTTCAAAAAGTTGAAGCAATCAAAATTTTCAAGTAAACATTATTAGCCGATAAGACAGCCGAACAGGTATCTAATCAAATATATATCTTCGCCACGTGCTCATCTGTTTCACAATTTCATTGACAAAATATTGTAGTTTTCCGATGCCATAATCACAAATGGTTCCACTTGGACGATTTACCTTTGAACTTTTTAAGTATTCGGCATTTTTTTAATTGCTGTTGGAACCAAATTTTCTCAAGTTGCCTGTACTTTCACCGAACTGCAGGAAAACTGAGTGCGGCTTTAAAATTTTTTTAAAATTAACCGCGCAGGAAGGAAATAAAAATTCTATAATTCTCAAACGTGTTCGCGTGTATGTCGCAAGGAGCATAAATAGACGAGGCGATTGAACAATTTACGGAGTCATATGCGATAGCCATATTGTCAGAGCATGACAAAATTTTAATTCTCTAACACGTTAGTTGTTGAATCGAGTCGATCGATAGTTCGCTAGTTCGTTTCAAATGAAACTGAAATGCGCATGAATGAACCGTGTCAATAGCATGCAATCGCAGTTCCCATTCTTTCGACGTGAATCACATTAGCAAAGAGCGAAAATTTTTAAATTAATCAGATACGGTGAATCCCATGATAATAGTTCTGTTAAACTTTGACTAACCTAATCGAGGACGAATACAATCCGCTAGTAAAAAGGTGCAGTCAAAAGAAAACATTAAAAATTGAAACTTATATACCTTGGGGACTTGACTTGAATTTGCGTCCAGACTTGAGCAACAATCTTCCTTGCTGCATTTTCGTCCAACTGATCGTTACCAAAAGTCACAAAATCGTCCGTTTCCCACCTCTTTCTCATAATATCTGCATGGTCGTGAGGATAAATCGAGGTGTAATGGGTTTCCCACATGGACTGGTATCTATCTAAAGGATTTTTCACTATGTAGGATGGATTATACTGACAAGGCGGGAATAAATCTTTAGTGTCTTCTTCGGTGATGAAGGGAAGGAAATATATTTCTGAACGACGTTTTACTTCTTCATTTACAAAGGATGGTTCACTTTGTTGAACGTGCATTGGAAGGATGGTATCCCGTTGAACAACTCGCTGATTCAGTAACGATTGCAGTTTGATTTTACCAAATACATTTGAATGTTGATCGTCCTCGGATGGCATAAGTAAATCTGAAGGAATATCTCTATAACCTTGCTCTTTCCAAGTCGAAGATCGCCATTTAACGTACATGAAATTATGTTGGCTGTGAAGGCCATGTTTATGTAAAATTTCTAAATAGTAAAGCTTTCGCGCTGATAAAGAAATAATATTTCCATCATGTGTCCGAGTTGTCCCCGATGTTACGTTTCCCACAAGCTTGCTATTTTCGGGGTTCGTATCCGAACTAATCCACAATTCCGTCGATCCACTCGAAGCTAAATGAAAGTTGTAATTCCCAGATTCTATCGGCGAAATAAATCCGAAAATTCGTAATCCAACATTTACTAAGTTTTGTTTGAAGCGTAATCGCAAGGTCGACGTGCTTCGGCGTGATGTCGGCGAGTGTGGGAAAAGCGGGAACTCCTTCAGTGACATTAGTTCATAACCGCAGATTTCTTCCCAAACTGATACATTTAAGCGTCCTTCTCCAAGCTTTTCGTCGACATTACTCTCGGTCGTGGAAAGTTTAGAACTTTTCCGGAACGAAAGAACGTCCTCTCCATCAGCCATTCTCTCGCCTCGGCGTTTTCTGTTTTTGATGAGAAATAAAACAACGAAAAAAAGAAGCGCCCAAGAGAGCAGTATTCTCAGTCTTCGCGCACGGTACATTACAGTAAGAAAAATCAATCTACAAATAATTTAGAACGCATTTTGAGGCACGCTCGTAGACGCTTGAATTCAGTTGAGCATATTGCGTGATTGGAAAAACTAAAGCCTAGGCCCCAAGGTTAACGTTTCAATCATTTATTGCGTGACTGAACGCAATTCAGGATTGGAATCGTAGAGAAGGACTAGGGTTGAACGGAACAATGTCCTAAAAACATGTTCGCATCGAAGAAAAGTGTGCTTAACTTAGAACTCGGTAGACATAGACGTAAACCAGAAACAGTGCTTTCGTGGGCGGATGATTATCTCTTGCTAAAATATAGGTATGTTAAGCCCCTGGGGCGAACTTTGAGTTGCTATCGTTCCGAACATTAACCCTTCATCAGAGCACGAAAGCAAACTTTCGAAACGCGAGCATATTGAAAGTTTGCTACAAAGGTAAGAATATTCTTTGCTCACTGGATTGTACATGAGAAATTTGAAAATTAAAAACTGTGTAAAAGTTTTGTTCCACCCACGCAAAGTAATGCTTTGAGAATTATTAATCCATAAAAAGAGCCTCCATTTCGCGCACGAGTAGTTGTCCTCGAACATTGTTTGTTCAAGAGGTGAAGGATCTCTCGAGAGCGAAGAGGAAAACTTTATTCCAGTGGAAACTATAGCGCATGATTTGTTTTGTATTTCCAAGTTCAACATGGCATACCTGATTACTTGACTCGTTGAAACCGACCGCGCGTGGGCAAAAATAATTGATGGATACAAGGGTGCGCTTATTGGAACGAGGGCGCGCTTATTGGAACGAGGGCGCGCTTATTGAAACAAGGGCGCGCTTATTAGAACGAGGGCGCGCTTATTGGAACGAGGGCGCGCTTATTGGAACGAGGGCGCGCTTATTGGAAAGAGGGCGCGCTTATTGGAAAGAGGGCGCGCTTATTGGAACGAATGCGCCCTTACTGGAACAAGAGAGGTAAATCGAATCATTGCGTATATAACAAAGTTGTTATTATGAGGGCAAAACGAACACTAAATCTAAAATGATCCAACATTTTCTGGTATAAAAGTAATGTATTCCTAAATTGTTTCTTTATTTTCATAATATTGTTACAACTAACAATAAGGTACTCAAAGTTAGTCAATGAATAAACTTGGGTAATTTTTCATTTTAATACTCCAGGTTGTAGAAAGATTCCTATATTTTTGGCAAGCTGTAAAATACAACCTGTGCCCTTTAGAGAAAATGAAGCAATAGAGAACATTTTTAAAAGACTGTTAAGTGAAGTAAAGCTGAATATCAAAACTGTTTACAATGTTTTAAACAATTTTTTCCCAAATCCTGTATCAATTGAAATATTCTAAATGAATGGTGAGAAACATTTTAGTGTCACACTGAGGGCTTATTGTTTAAAATCTGTGAAGTTGGTTGAATCAGGCAGAGAACATAGCACCTGTGTCTTGTAAAAATCAGTAATTCATCTTTTTTATCCCATTTACTTTTGCCAAAATAACTGATAATGAATCAAAAATTCAATCATGGTTACTGCACAATAATAAATTTCTTCTTCTCAGTGTAACCCTACCATTCAAAAAAATCTAGACAATTCAATTCACCTGACACAAAATATATAATATTCTGTATATCATCTTAAAATAAAATTCAAACAGTCAGATACAGTAAAAACCTAGGTTTTTTCAAGTCAACCTCCATAGGTTCTTAAATAAATGGTTTTTATCTTTGAAATTAGGTTACCTAGGTTTTTATCATTAAAAACAAAACAAACAAAAAAAAAGAAACCACAATTTATATTCTTAGGCATGGGTGTGGTACTGTTGGCTATTCAAGCTTTATAGCACCCTGCTTTACATGGTTAACCTATACGCACAGTTGAATGCGTTACACCACTATAGAGGTATTGACAATACAGTATTGAGGTCTTATAACACTGCCAGTGTTCTGGCTAGTTTTTTGTTACCCTTTTTTGTAATGCATGTGATGTATGATATTATATTTGAAAATTTCTATGTTACCAAAATAAGAGCCTGTATTGAGATTTTAGCCTAAAACAGTTCTCATGTGAAGAGTGCTTGACCAGGAAATTTTAGTCTTACAGGTTCTTATGAGCACTTTTTTTACTCTATCATGCAAGATATGCCTAGATTTAATGACCGGTACACTGGAAGGCCACATAATGTTATAAAAAGTGCAAAATGATTTTCAATCAAAAGTGATTTGACTTAGGGGGAAAATATTTGTTAGTGATAATTAGTTAATAGTTTTCTAAGAAGCATTTTCAGAGGGGTCATTAAATATATTGATATGATTTAGACATATTTTATACCAGCTCTCATGGATTTTCATCATTGCCTAACCATCAGCTTTCATCAAACTGACTACTTCACAGTTTTGGGAACTGGGGCAGTCTAAGATATAAAAACAACAGCCAAGGGTTAAAGCTTTCATTGATTCAAGTAAACAGGTATGAGATTTACACCGATGGTATGACATCTGCCATACTGACTCAATCATTCTTTTCTTGCCCAAATGGATGCCCTTAGGCCATTTATAAGGCCAAATATCCCATAACTTTTACTTTGGCCAAGAATATCTTATTTTGTGAATTGCCATTACACAACAAAAAGTGAATGAGCTTATCCCTTTTTTTTCTCTACAGTAGAGTGACTAGGAGTATTGTGGATTCTTTCCCTGAATGGGATATGGATCTGTCAAAGGTCACCTGAGAACAGTTCCTCAAGTTTACCATTTTCCCCACATTAACTCTCATTACCAGTCCAATTGACTGTGTATCAAAATTGAAAGGAGAATCTGTGAGATGAACACCCTCAGGAGCAGAAGGGTTAACACTTTAAACCCTAACATCAGTACGCATATTCTCAATACTGTTCACCATAAATTTTATATGGTACTGACACCAGTGTCTTGCCCAGGATCAGCACACAAAAACACAATAACCAAGCCAACCAGGGCCTGGGTGCAACCTTGTTCTGCAGTAGTGGTAACCAGTAATCCTCAGTATCTTATTTCTTTTTGTAATTAAGCTTTAATATATTTTACCGGGTAAGGTGATTGGCCCCATGCCCAAACCCCCAATATGGAGCATCAGAGACTGACACACATCAATGGAAATATTTTTCAAAGAGAGTTCTAGATCTTAAGACTGACACAAGGACATTAAGTCACAGACTTTGGAAAATACTCACCACTTCTAAGTTACCAGTCTGTCCCTTTTTAATCAACAACTCAGAGCTATAAAATAAAAAAATAATACAAATAACTTAAAAAGGCAAAGATAACAATTTAAACCAAAACTTCCTGATGTAATTTAAAATCAGCCACAAATCCTTGAACAACCGCAGTAAAATGTGGTCAGTGATATTTCTGTTGATTTTCTCTCAGCTTAAGTCATCTGATAGATATGCTTAAACAAAGAAGATGATATTAAAGTTTCTTAATATGTAACATGTCCCATCCCATACAGAGGCACACATTTCTGCATAGGTTTATCAATAGGCAGGGACAGCAGGGGTACAGAAACCTTAGATAATGGGGTTTGCACAGCATAAGGGAAATGAGGGAGGAAGGAACAAGAACTGGGAGAGGACTGAACAAATACAGAAAATTGCTTATGGTTAATCTGCCATATTTCATGAAAGAGAGTGGGAGACAGGATGGTACAGTACTGGATCTCAAACCCCTTCCCCATCTAATATCCCTACAAACCACTACAAGGTCAATGTTAACAAAAGCCTGAAAAATAATCAAAACAGAATTTGCAGTTAGAGTTTTATTTTAAGTTTCTACACAACATAAGATAGAAAATATCCAGCATACCCATCATAAAATGAAATTGTCCCTGTCTTATCTTTGGCCATGTTGTGTTTTATTCTGAGTGAGAAAAAAAATTTTAATTCAGTGTTATTTAGAACAGCCAACCTCAAACTAAAAACAAAAAATCTTGACATTGAAGGAAGAGGGCTGGAAAGCAAAGTGCCAGAGATGAGGATTTTACTTGAGTGACTGGGGGTAATTCTTAAGAAAAGCTTCCAAAATTCTAGTTGGATAATCATAATAATCATATTAAACATGATATTGATGATGATGGAAATTAAAGTAATGCAATATGATAGTGGTGACAACTGTAATGGTAAGAATGTTTTATTTATACTGAATGATCAGCAGGAGGAAACTAAATCACTACCAAAAAACACTCTGCCCGGTTGTCAAAAGATTTTCAGTGCTCAAGGCAATAGATTTTCAAACAAAAAATGAAGACTTACTCTCCTGTCTCAATTTTGAGAAGCTGATTGTTGTTCAGGGCATTCAGGATATAAACAATTGTTTCAATGACATGAGTGCTCGTCAGTATAAGATCACCCTGAAATGATCAAGAACTATGTCACAATACTTTAAAGAACTTAAGTGTCAATAATGGTATTTCTGTTTTACATTGACGTTGAAGGGTTAGTATTCATGAGAAAAAGGGATGATCAAGTAAGACACTGTGGATTACACATGATTAACCTGAAAAAAAATCATTTCACTTCAGTATGACTAGAACTATGCAAATGATGGTAAAATCAATATTTCCATAAAATGCTTAAGCTCACCTTGTCCCCTTTGTCTTCAATTGGTAAGTGAAGAACAATAACTCCATCCGTTTTAGAGCTGACTGAAATACCTAAGAATGTAGCACAATTCAAAAATATTACTTTCCTATGAAGCATAGCATATTGAATTTCCCGTACTACAATATTATCAATGCTATATTGAAAATATTGTAAGAAAATTGGTCCATCCTTTGACTGTAGGCTCATCGAAAAAATAAAGCACTTGAGAAGTTTGGAGAATACCTATGCTGCAAGTAACTTTTACACATCTTAATTTGATACTCTCCAAACTTTCCTTGTGATTCAAATCTATAACAGCACATGCTAAAACATGAACCCATGATGACATCTACAGCACTAAAGTCATAATAACTAATTGCAATTTATCTAAAAATAATCTATTTAAATCCCTGATTCATGGAATCCCTGATTCATGACATTCCATTCAAATC